CTGGCTAATTTTTCTATTTTTAATAGAGACAGGGTTTCACAATATTGGTCAGGCTGGTCTTAAACTCCTGACCTCAGGTGATCCTCCCACCTTGGCCTCCCAAAGTGCTAGGATCATGAGCGTAAACCACCATGCCTTTTTTTTTTTTTTTTTTTTTTTTTTTGGGACAGGGTGTCACTCTGTTGTCCAGTTTGGAGGACAGTGGTGTGACCTCGGTTCACTGCAAACCTCTGCCTTCCGGGTTCAAAGGATTCTGGTGCCTTAGCCTCGCGAGTAGCTGGGACTGCATGCATGTGCCACACCCTTCAGCTAATTTTTTGTATTTTCAGTAGAGACAGGGTTTCACCATGTTGGCCAGGCTAGTCTGAACTTCTGACCGCAGGTGATCCACCAAGTCTTGCTCTGTTGTCTGGGCTGGAGTGCAATGGTATGATGTTGGCTCACTACAATCTCCACCCAGAAGCTTCAAGCAATTCTCCTGTCTCGGCTTCCTTGAGCAGCTGGGATTACTGGCGTGTGCTACCATGCCTGGCTAATTTTTTGTATTTATTTTATTTTTTTCTTGAGACGGAGTCTCGAACTGTCATCCAGGCTGTAATGCAGTGGAGCGATCTCAGCCCACTGCAATCTCTGCCTCCTGGGTTTAAACAATTCTCCTGTCTCAGCCTCCTGAGTAGCTGGAACTAGAGGCATGTGCCACCACACCCAGATAACTTTTTCTGTATTTTTAGTAGATGAGGGTCTCTACTAAACATACAAAAAAATTAGCAGGGTTTCACCACATTGGCCAGGCTGGTCTCAAACTCCTGACCTCAAGTGATCCACTTGCCTCGGCCTCCCAAAGTGCTAATTACAGGTATGAGCTACTGTGCCCAGCCAAGATGAACTTTTAAAAATGCAGCAGAAACAAAGCAAAGTGCTGACCTCTGGTAGGAATCAACAAACTTTTGAAAGATTTCAAAAACTCTAAATTCCTATTCTTTAAAGAGTTGAAACAGGTAGTATAGGAAGAGGATACCATTATGGGTGACCACATACATTTTTTTTTTTTTTGAGACAGATTCTCACTCTGTCACCCAGGCTGGAGTGCAATGGTGCAATGTCGGCTTACTGCCAGGCTCAAGCAATTCTCCTGCCTCAGCCTCCAGAGTAGCTGGGATTATAGGTGCTGATCACCATGACCGGCTAATTTTTTTTTTTTATTTTTAGTAGAGATGGGGTTTTACCATGTTGGCCAGGCTGGTGTTGAATTCCCAACCTCAGGTGACTTGCCTGCCTTGGTTTCCCAAAGTGCTGAGATTATAGGTGTGAGCCACTGTGCCCTGCCAGACCACATAAATTCTTATAAAACAAAGTAGGTGGAGGCAGGCAGAATGATTTACGGAAAGTGAAACAAAGTATTGCAGGGGATGGTAATACACACAAGTTTAAAATGTAACATGTCTGTTAACGTGTTGGCTGTAGATTTCTTACCCTTACCAAAAAACTGTAATAATCTCCATGGAAAAAATCCACTTGTTAAATCTTAAAATTTACCTTATTTTTTACTTGGTCAATATTCTTTACAGGTGTAACTGAAATAATCCTCACAGGGTTCTCTTCATTTTCACTTACTCCAGTTTCTGTTGCCTCTGAACTCTGTTCCCTGTTTAAGACACGTAAACCAAGACTTCATATTTCCATGAAGAGAAAGTTCACTATCTCACAGTACCAATAAAAACAGGCTGAGGCTGGTTTTGAAACCTGGCCAAATGAAGCAATGATAGCAAGATTCAGATACTCTGTAGTTACACACAACTGCTTTAAAAACATCATTTTCCATTTAGTTTTGATCAAGTGGTATCAATTTCTATTTTGCCTTAATAACATTAAGACAGAAATGACTGCCTAACACCACTCTACAAAGGATTGTCAAGAAACAAAATGCCACAACTACAGTAAGCTTTATCTTTTGGGAACAAAGAATCCTAAAACAAAAACAGAACTACAGACCATAGGATAGTACAGCCATTTCCATGGTGTTCTACAAAAAAGGGGGCTGTCAAAAGAGGCTATTCGGTAGGTATTTGAGGCCACTAGTCTTTAAAACATATTAAAACCTGCACGAGGCTGTTGGGGGAAAAAAAAAA